TAAGTTTTCATGGTAGTGGAGGTTTCCATTGGAGTCTCATGAGAATATGTGCTGGGAAATGCATTCAGCTATTCATGAAGAGACTTAGAAAAGTAGTGGAGTGGTGGAAGAAGGATATGCAGAAATTTTCTAATAATCAAAAAATGTTCAGGATGGCCAGAATTAGGGCTAATGGCCAAAGGATTTATTAATCTTTAGTAAGTGAGTAAAAAGGTGATGCTTGAGTCTTACAATCAGTAATGTAAGGGGCAGGGGAAGACATTTATGTGTGCAAAGCAATGGACTCTAAAATGAGCTATTACTTTTAAGGAAAGACATCTTGAACTCTTTGGGCATTCCTCTGAAAACATCAGCTCACATACTGCCAGCCAAAACCATGAAAAGAATGAGGAGAGGAACAGAGAGCAGAATGAACAGTCATTACACCACTAAATAAATCCAGGATATGCTCACATCTTGAATATTAAATGCAGTTCTGGTTACCCCATTCCAGAAAGTAAATATTAGGATATAAAGTGCAAAAATACTGGTCAGAAGTACAGAACAGGGTGAGTTAATAAATGAGGAGAACCTCCTTTGGTGTAGAAAAAGATCAGAGGTGTGCTGAGAGGAAAAAGCATAATAAAATCATGGAGAAGGTGAATATGGAATGATTACACACTTTGTAACACAGGAACTCTGAAAACAAAACAAAGGAAACTCTTTTTCACACAATGCATAGTTAAGTTGCTGGATTAATCACCCCAAGATCTTGAGGCCAAAAATATGATTGTTTTCAAAATGAAATTAAAAAGCACACATAGGATGGATTCATACTGCCAGTAAACATAATGGCCTAAATATGCCTTGTGTCTCAGGTCCCTTACCAGATTGCCGAAATCCTTTCTAAAGAAAGGATCACTCTGTCTGTTTTATACTCTTTTTCCAAGCATCTGCTCTTGGCTGTTGTCAGATTACTTTGGCACAAATATAGCCACTCTACTTATGTATTCTTTTGCTGATAATCAAAATTGAATACATTTTGAGTTTTTAAGCCTTTAATCAAGGATTTAAAAACTACAGATCAGAATGGTTGGTGTTTTTACACTTCCTGATAAAACTTGAAGGACACTGCTTATCAGGAAAGGTGACCATGCAGTCTGTAAAAATCCAGCTTGCTTAAGCTATGACAAAGACATGAACCCCAGTCTGAAAATGTGGTCTTTTATTTGTTTGTAAAATTATGTTCTGTATGTAGAGACCTGTATGTAGAGTCGGAAAGGTTTCCATAAAGGGTTCATCAATAGTTAATGCTTGTTGTAGCCATGTCAGATAAACAGTATAGTTTCACTTCGTGTTTATGCATCAAGTGATGTGTCCCACTTAGAAATAGTCCAATTTCAAAAAGTTTTCAGGCTCAGATGAGTTTGTGTAATGATCCTCATTTGAGCTGGAGATCTTCAGAGAACAGGCACTCTCATGAGACTGCTGGTATTTCCTGTTTCTCATCAGACCAGAAATACAGTAGCAGAGGAAGAGCTTTTCTCTTAGCACTGTATGGTATTTGAGCTTCTGCCTGAATTTGGGAAGTGCCACAGTACATAAAACTGAAAGCAAGCAAACAAACAAATTTAGTGTAACCTTTCCAAGCCACAGAAAAGGTTCATATTTGGGTTGTGTTTGGACAGCAGTGGTTCACCCCTCCCTAGACTTGTGATACATTTTTGTTCAGAGTTAAGGACAAAGGTGACATTTTTTTGAAGTTAATTTCATGCTTTTTGTAAATCTTTCTGCCATGTAGCACTGACGTAAGCGTTTTATGTTGTAAAGACAGTGGTATTGTACAGTGGTACTCAACACACTAATTATAATGTAACACTTCCTTGTAGGACTAAACGTATTTATCTAAAAATATCTTTTAATGAGATATGCATTATATTAAAATAGGGTCTCATTGATTTTCTTGAAAGCTATCTAGTTATTTCTTTAATAAAACTTGTGATTGCAGGTATAAATTGATATATATGTATATTTTAAACCCAAAAACGTCAAACATCAGTTTCAGGCAGTTCCAACATAGACATGTTAGAACCAGCACAGATTTCTCTTGACGCAGAGGATAAACAGAAACACAGAGTGACTAAGTGTGTGCTTGTGTCTTTCCAATACTTGTGCATACACATTTTACATTTTAACATTTTTTAAAACTCACATTAAAATATTTTTTTGTATTTTTTGAAATATTTATATATCTTAATGGTGTGTTTGTGTGTGTTGCTTTTATTTATATTTATAATACAATAAAAATAACTATGCATAAAATAATGCTGAAGAGTAGGTGATTTTGTCTTGTTGTATTGCAAATGTATTCCAGCCGCTTTGGCTGTTATTTTCACCTTGCTGACCACGTGATTTTGCTGTGGTGAATATATGCGTAAATGAGGTTTTTCTTGTGGATTTCCTGTAGATACTGGGAAATTGCAGATTATGAAAAGGTAGCAAGACAGTTTATTATTCCGGATGTCAAAAGATGTAGAAAGCTTCTGAAATGTTTTGTTTAAAATATTCCTCTTTTGGTGTATGAGAGGAAAACCTACTGTAAGTGCCCAAAACACAGTACCTAATTATCCTGTGGTGTGTTGCTATGCTTTAAAGCCATTTCCTGTGAATAAATCAGGAACAGAAGCAAACTGTTCCTGCTACCTTTAATTTGAGAAACTTTAGAAACTCTGCTCAAGATCTTTTCCTAAAGAAAACCTAAGTGATATATGCATGCCCTCAACATTCTAATTTTTTTTTACTAGTTTTACAAGATTTTTTTTTTTTTTTTCCACTCACAATTGGTACTCAGAAGACTTTAAAATCTGGGTGAAACAGATACATCATAATCACAGTTCAGTCGTCAGCAAAAGTTTGCCATACTGAGCAAAGCTGCTCTTGGTTGCCTCAATGGTAAAATGTTTTTGGCTTGAAGAAGCTAATTCAATGTGATAAGTAAGATTATAGGAAATGACTAGTCAATCTAGAGAAGATGAATGCACTTCACCATCTGGAGGTGGTCCCACCCTTGCTTTAAGCTGCTTCTCTGGTGAATATAAAATTTGCACTGGTCCAGTTTGCACCCATCTGTTACCTGATCTTTTTCAGTCCATTTCTCTTGGTGAATTCAGAACACTGAATTAAAATCACAGCTCCTTCTGCAGTGTTTCTGGGAATAGAGTGCATCAAAATGAGATTCAAAACTTGCAGCAATTTCAGAATACAACTGCCTAAAATCAACAGGCAGCTGTCTAAGACTAACAAAGTGGTAGGAATGCTAGAAAAGGAACAGCTGAGGGTGGACACCCTTCTTGATTGTTTCCCCTTCTGGACCTCAGAGATATTCTGCTCTGTGCTTTAGAAAGGATCTCTATTCTGTGGAGGTGCAAAAGTCAGAGCACTGTTCTAAGCTCTTGCTCTAAAATACACCCGGGCATGGCACATTCCTTTCAGATACAGCCAGAAGCACAGCTGATAGAGCCCATCTTTTGTACTATAGGTTACTTAGAGCACTTCCACAAGAATTTGTTTTGGAAAGTGATTTTCTCAGCCTAAAGGCTTTTATAAAGACAGCTTTCACAGCTTTTGTAATAAGATCCTAATCAGAGACTATAGAATAGTAAATGAGAATATTTTTCATTGTGCTTATTGAAAGAGTGCAGGAAAAATTCAAGAATCACTGGATCAGGAAGAAAAACTGTGAGGAACCAGCAATTTTTTGACATGTGCTACTTACTGCATTTTTTCAGAAGCAAAAGCTTGCGGTCTCTAGTGCCTGTTCTGAGCATCACTGTTGTGTTTCACATGGAAGAATTATTTGGTAAAATTCTAAAGTGGTCTCAAGTGTTACTGAGGGTGGTGCTGCACAGAAGACAGTATGGTGAGAGTAGTACCTTATAGGGTCTAATGTAGAGTGCATGGGCAGGAGCTCCACTCCAGATCCCCTCTTTGAATAGAAAGCAGCTTTGCTACCACATCTGTAGGCAGCCCAGTGGTCCAGGTGTGTTTTATGAATGGTTTAAGCACACCTATCAGGTTGGTCACCTCACACATTTTAGTAGAAATATATGTTTTCTGAATCTTGGAATTGATCCAGGCATTGAATTGTCCAGTTCATTGAGACTTGGAAAATTTGCATCATCTTCAGAAGAACACAGAGGACTTTAATGGAAAGCATGAAGAGTGGGGTGTATCTGGGTTTGAGAATCAGATTTAAGCACATAATCACCATCTAAATTTTAGGTGCATGCTAGGGATCTAAATTATCTGTTGCATCTGGTCCTCAAAGCCATTTTGACTTGCTGCTTTGCTTTTTTTCTTCAGTCTGTTCTGTTCCACCTCTTTTCTTTCTGTCTAGGATGGAATACTACAAGGACTGAGGAAAATCCTTAGATCTCTGCACACGTTAACTCACTGTTTGAAATCAAAGATGTCTGCATGCTCTTGCAGAACTAAGCCTGTACATTGCACTGATTTTACATCATCACTTCAAATTTACTAGTTAGAATATATGTGCTATAGGTTAAATTGCTATATCAACATATCATGATTGCACGTCTGAACAGTACTTTCACTTCTAGTGATTTTAAGGTGGCCTCATTTGTTGCAATACTACAGGAATGTGAGGCTTTTAAAGGGGGAACTCTCAAAGGGTTTCAGCCATATGAAACCATAACCAGGTATCTACTCAAACTAACATCAAGACTTCTCTGTAAGCTTAACAGTGTAAATTCAGGTGCTCTAAACCAGATAATGCATTACTGATTATCTGAAAATCCTTTGTAGACTTTCAGACAGGCCTTCATGGGAGATAGTGTCAGGCAAATACTAATCTTAGGGCAGAGGGAAGTCACGTATAAGTTCCTGAAGTGAAATGCAGGAATGTTGACTACAGAACTAAGAAAAGATGAGATGAGGGAATACTACAAGTGTGATTAGTGGTGTTTTTGCATTTATATGTATATGTAGAGAGAGGATAAGAGAGAAAGACTGATGCAGAGCGAGAAGCAAGAACGTCAAGTCACCAGTGAAGGTAAAAGCACAAGATGTGATATTGTTAGCATTCTTAGAAGAGTTTTCTCCCAGATCATCAGTTTGCAACATATACAAAACCTTGGTAAGAGCAGCAAGATTTACCCACACCCAAACGATCCAGCATTGGAGACTGGGTTTGAATAGAAGGATTTCCTGGAATAAAATATGGAGAAATGTTGACCAAAACATTAATAAATGACTGCCATGTAGTTATCAAACATACATCAGTTGTCAAAGTCATCGTGAGCCCTGTAAACCAATTACCATGGTTAGTATACATTTTTATTCTTTTTATGTCAAGTGAGGAGACAGTAATACAATAAAAGGAAGGTGTGCCAGAGTGAGGTCTAGAGTTCAAGCAAAATGCTTCAGTAGAGTAATCTGTTAGCCTCAGCTTGCTCTGCAGTATGGCTGAAGATATTTCTAAATCAGCAAATCCACCCACAACATGATGAAACCAGAAAAAATAGAGAGGAGCAGGGGGGAAGTCTAGCATGGGGCACGGATATAGGAGATCCGGTTTGTGTTCCCATCTTTCTCATTAGCTTTTAGTAGATAATAATGGTGGAGAAGGAAAACGATTTTCTCACTTTCCCTGCTAACACTTCTGTCACATCTACTTATCTTGTCTACAGTTCACACTGAAATAAACTGAATATTCACACTGCTGTTATGATGGTCAGCAATCATTTGTGTTCACACTGATCCTGATCTGCTGCAGGTATGCGTGTAACCTCAGAATAAGCCTTGCTGCAGGTTGTCCAGCGGTTCCTTATGGCCCTTGTAGGAGGGACCCCACAACAACATGGCATCTCTGCAGCACAGCTGAAATCCAGAGAGGCAGTTTGGTATGGCACGACATACTTCAAGTTTTGTGCCAAGGTCCTCATGAAGGTGGGGCATAAGCCTGATTCCCCTACTTTGCAGGTGTTCCCTGAAACATCCCAAAGTTTGCTCAGCTTTTCATACTAAAAAATGTGCAAGGCATGCCTGCAAATGATCACAGACATGGGCCTGTACTTGTGGTGTAGTTTAGATGTAGCCATATGACTAGAAAAGCAGGGACAAGTAAGCAGTATGGCTCTGTATCTACTGAATAATAATATGCTGCATAATAACATTTCCTTCAGTACACACATTTCTAATCTTTTCTTTTAAAGGAGTAAGGCAATGAACTATGGTTTCTATACTGTAATATTGCTTTTTAGATATTTATTTTGAGATCTTTTAAAACTTCTAAATTTCCAGGAAATAGTTACTTCATTACTACAGAGTTACTAGCTGTTATTGTGCATCTTGGCCTGTTTCCACAAAAATGGGAAAATAACTTTACCAGATGCCAATGAGTCTTTTGTACAGTGGGAGCAAGTCTATATGAAATCATGAAACAACATGAAGAATGATACTAGCTAAAAGCCTTTCCTTATGAAAATACTGAGACTCTTCCTTATGGTTCAAAATTCAAATACACATTTTCCACTTCACTGCTATGAAAGTAATCCTCTGTTCAAACAAGGTGACTATAATGTTTAAGGGTACAGTTACCAGGTAGTTAAATATGAACTAAATTATTTTTGCTGTTGCTGACTATGAAATGGAGGATTGCACCTTTCTTCTCTGCCTTCTTTCCTTTCTATTCCCAGTTTTTTCAAAGCAAAATTAGCTTCTCATGATTACTTTCTGGAAGACGTAAAATATCAACAACAGTGCTGCTATTGGTAGTGAAAGATTTTCAAAACATGTACAAGGGAATATTGGATCAGAGGATTAAATCCTGAATTATCAGTCAGTGGGATTTTACTATCGCATTCCAAACAATGGTTATGATAATTATGTAACATGACAGAATTTGACACATTTTGTGCAATTACTAGTTTATTCTGGCTACGTAATTTCTGATAATAAGTTTTAATATAAAGTAGCATGTCAGGCCTTTTAACTATTATCTCTATAAGGGAATTTTTTGTTTTTTAATGTCCTGCTATCATCATTTGAAACTGCTTTTTTTTTTTTTTTTGCCAATTTTCTTTAATCTCTTACCAAAACTCAGTCTGGATTTTAATGATTATGTCAAAAACCTTTCACATTAGTCTGTAGGATGATGTTTGAACACCCAAGAGATATAATGATCCACAGAATTTAGTGACAGTGAGTCTGAATGGAGCTATATAAGCAAATATCAAAATTGTATTTTGAAAGATTGCAGGACCTCTAGCAGTGGTGGTGAGCAAAGCACTGTAACTATCCCACAGTGGAACAACTAGGGAAAAAGAAAATAAGAAAGACAATCACCTTGAATTTACACAGCATATGATCATGACTTCTCTAGGTAACCTGAATTGGTATCTGAACATATCTTCTAAAGTTGTCAGTCTCTAGGCAGAATGACATTACCATCCCAAGTCTGTCGTAAGCGTACATGGGAGTGGTATTGTATGTCAAGCCCAGCTCGTTGAGATAACTGGAACCAACTTGGAAAAAAACAGTCAGTGGAAAAGGAAGTTATGCTAAAGCACATCTTAAGTGCCTGTCCCGGGTTCAGCCACTGCTACTTAATACATACATAATTAGAAATACTATAAATAGAGTACACGTTAGTCTTCTGGTTGTTTCAGCTGTAGGAGAAACCTTTACAGGGCATGACTGTGTAAGGCCTCTCTTGTACAGCCATATGATGAAGGAAAGGCTTGGATGTGACCTATTCATCAGCATGCTGACATTTGTATCACAAGGTTAGAGTAATGTGAGATAGATGATAACTTATGTAACGAACTTTTGAAAACCATTTTAGAAGCAATTCGAAGAGGTTGGCTTGTTGTAGATAATCTGAGGTTGGGTCCGTTGGGGAATTTGAGTAGGGATCCTGAATATGTTATTCATTCTTTTTGCAGAAAAGCACCTTAGGAAGCGAGTGGGAAGATGAGAGTGCGAAATATTTGGAAGATGAATAACTGAGCATGAAAAAAGTGTCTTGGAGAGTAATAGTTCTTCCCTCCTCCTGAAATGTGTTTCCCATGACCAGCAAAAAAAATGACAAGCTATGATTCCTCTATGTTTCATCAACAAGACTTGGACATTTTGTTATAGGCTGCATTATTAGAAAAGACGTTATTTAGATTTTTCAGCAGATTTCTAGTAAAAATAGAATAAAAATCTAATCAACAAATCTTGAGAGTTACCATGAAATAGAGCCCCCTTCTGTTTCACTGCACAGGAAGTACAGTGAAAGTGCAGGAGTTTTTTTGTTTTCTTTTGCTGCCTTGCTTTAACCAGTTTTGCTTTTCATTACTTAATACACAGTTTTTACTATGCAAAGCAGAATGTATTTCTAATTACTTTATCTTGGTATAATCACGTAAAAAGTCATAAACACATTATCATCTTTAAATTTGTTTGTTATAATCTGTTTGTTAAAGCAAGTTGTTAACAACCTAGTTGTTAAAATGCACAATATCATTTCCTTTCTTTTAATGATCAATAGTTAAATATAGCACAGTTATAACATCAAATATCTGAATAATAAACTGAGATCTAAATTAGTGAATCATACAAAAACATGGGAACATCTGTCTCCCATTGTGTAAATCATACTTGCTTTGAAAAAAGAGACAGTAACTCTTAAATTTGTAGTTTTGGGTACAGTGTGTTTATTTTTCGTAGAAGAGCTCAATTAAAAAAAAATATTATGCTTATTTTTCTGAGTCAGAGTCTTTTTTTGTTTTAGTTAAATCTGATTTTTAAAGTAATTTTAAATCTGAAATTATAAAAACCTGTAATTATGGTTAAGGCTTATTTACCTTTAAATTGCAGGATTTCCCGCAATGCTAAAGATGGCATTTTTAAGAAATAGTGTTGATTTTGAGCAATGCGTCCAAAGTTTTCCACCTATAGGTCTCAGGTTAAATAATAACTTATTTGGAAAACAGTATTAATTAATTCAATGGATGTATTAATACAGAAAGAAGGTAAAGAAAAACAGCAATGAACATGTTTGGATCTTGAACCATTGTTATATGTGTTTAAGTTCTTAAAACTCCTGCTGTGCTTGCCCTTGAAATCCACTTTCTCCACAAGCCCTTCTGAAACTTTTACACAGTTCTAAGTATTGAATAGATAAATTGATATCTTAAGGTGATCTTAAACTCATCTTTAGAATAAGATTTAGCATATTCACTCTTATAATAGGCTTTAAACTGTAATTAATACGGAGTAGGAATAGGTGTAGAGAAAAGTAATGCCCCTAATAATAATTCATACAAATAGTAGGGCAAAGACTAAACCTTGATCTTACATAGTTTATAAAACATAGGTTTCTAGAACTACAAGTAAATGTCATGTCTTGGTAAACTCTCAGTTTCAAAAGGACTGACGTATTCTGAAGGCTGAAGTCAGCCAATAGTGAGAAACAAGAAAAAAATCCCCCAGTTGAAGTTCCATTAAAGCTGATGCAAAAGAAGGGTACATTAAATGTAACAGAATAATAATTTGAACTTAAAGCTGGAGGACTCATGACGACAAAAGTTTTGTTTAACAGTTACGCATTTTCTTTACATATAATAAGCATGTAATTATTCAAAAAATAAACTGTGCAGAAAGCTTGAAATGTTAATATCTGAGTTTCAGCATCTCAAAAGAAGTCAGGGAAAGAGAAAAGAACAGAATCTTAATCTCTGGAGCAATAAACCTTTGTGTTACCCAAGAAGTCTCAATGCGTTCTTCTTGCTTTTAACATTTATGCTGGTGCTAATGTAAACCCAAGCTGAACATAATCTCTTTCCTAAAAGTGCTTTAAATCATGCAACATAAAACAGCTTTTTCTGTGAAAGAAACTAACAAGCACAGGGGTGTTTAGATGTGGGGTGTCTACCAAACACTCATCAGTGTAATATTGAAGCACCGTACCCACATTTTAATGAGTAGTCTCTCTGGAAATTTGTAAGAAGTTTTGGCCTTACTTTTTCAGTTTGATATTTTCTCTAAATGGTTTTACAAATAAATGCTTTGATTGTATTTAGTAACTTCAGCTTTTTGTAATAAATACTCTTTGTTAGTAAATGATACCATGTATGACATTAGCATGTATTAAATTCATTAATACAGACCAAGTTTAACTCAGGATTTCATTTTTAGGATGTCTAACAAAAGAGATCATATGTGTGATATGTGCTTTGACATATTTATAGAGACATGGGGCTTTTTACATTTGGAGTGGGAAAAATAAAACCAAACGTGCCTCATTATTTAAATTTTTATATTAGTTGGAATTGACAGTAGCGTCTCTTAACACTATGAGCATGACAGAAGGAAGATCTGACATGTATCAGCTGTAGGAACTAAATCTCACTCTTCCCTAAACTATACCATTTTCCATAAATATAGCAGAGGTCAGTGTCCAGTGGGAACCATGTGGGTCAGTATCCAGAGGTTATTATCTACACCCATGAAGTCGTTTGCAACTAAGAGGTCACCTTAGACTTTCTCCTGTTTTCCAGTAACCCAGCAACAAGTAGTGATTAATAATTTATTTCATAGCTTTTATTGCTTTTTGTAGTCTGTTCATAAGCAAAGAGTTGCCATCCATTGTTTTAGGCATAGGCTTTTCCCCAGCTTGTCATGATCTTCCCTGTTACTGCAACATTAAGATTTATATTACATCTGAAGATGAAGCAGAAATTTTATTGATATAGAGTAGGATGATTGGCTTGCTAAGTCATACAGAAAATGTGTTTTGTATTATCAATAGCAGCTGTATACAATGACAGCATATGACTTCATCCTTTCTGTAGTGAATAATAGATTAATATAACTTAAGGATAGGTTCACTTAACAATTATGCTTTCACTTTGAAGGCAACATTTTCTTTTACTTCAGTTAATCCTTATCTTAAATCTGTTCTCCTGTTAACAGTGACTTTTAGTAATTCTGATATGTTTATATATAAAATAATTTTACCCCCAGAAGTTAAAATGGTTTAACTTCTGTCAAGTTCAGAGACCACCATCCTTTCCCCTGTACTAGAAGACTGTAATTATGGCAAATAGGAGTACTCAAATGTACTCTTATTTAACAGAAGGGCTTTCTAAATTCACTGTCCACATCAGCAATTTACTTATCACTGTCATCTTCTGGTTTATCTAACTGAGCTTTGATCTGTTCATTTCTAGAACTAGCTGCAAAACTTCTGGTTTTATGGTGTGGATTCAGAGATTCTTTTGTTAATAAAGAACATTTAGTTTTGCAAATTAAGGGTAAATAACCTAGGGGGCAGAGGCCTCAAACTGATCATTCTAAAGATGAATGCGACTTTGACTTTTGAAGCAGTTGAATTTCACCTGCACTGAATATTAAAAGATAAAGAATTTTAATTCTGAGGGCTCATTGGATTTAGGAATGTATACAGCAGCATGGTGGAGCATAGCAGAGAGATGCCTCCACTTTCTCATGAAAGCACTATTTCTGGAACATAACTTACCACTATGAGATTGTTTCAGGACTTCAGCTCTGCCTGATTCTGTGTCACGTGGGTGATTTAGATCAGGTTAGCACCATCACTGACATGGCTCTATCACAAGGTAGAGATGCAATTTAAATCCTTTTGCAGTTGCTGTATCACTGAGTAAACTTTATGCAGTGTACAGATCTTACTGTCATGCCACTTTTAACCTGAAAGGCATCTGACATCTCTCTTCAGGTTGCCTGGACTTTGATCAAAACTCCTTAGCACTGAGCAGTAATGTTTAAACACTAAACTGTAAGGCTCTGATTACTGACTGACAGCATGACAGTAAACACTATTTTAAATAATAATTTAAATTTTAAAAATTATGGTAAAAGTGTCTGGTCTTCTATGAGAAACTTTAAGTACTAAAAGTTATTAGTCAGTCCTCAGATTTCTGCTCACTAGAGAGTAATAGTAAAAGCTGAATTTTATTTGTATTTTGTGTGGCTGTCACTTCTGCAGTTTATGATATCGACATTTTTATTACTTTGGATGGGGAAATACCCATCATCTGAAAGACACCCTGAAGATTAGCCAAACATTTAATCTGGCAATACCATAAATCTTCCTTTCCTTTATATCAGTGCATTGACCATCAAATGCCCTCCCTGTAGGAATAAAAAAGTGCTATTGTGTGATACCTTCTCTGGGAGGCAGTAGAAAAAAAGGCAGGGTTAATAGAAACATGTATGGGACCAGTGGATCATAAAAACCCTTAACAGGTGCCGTGGACTGTTACCAGTTATTAATCTGGTCAGCAGCTGATGCACTCCTATTTTAAGGTCACTCTATGCATGCTGTTGAGTTTTCAGCAAAGTCCTCTTGCGATGGTGTTTGTCAGGAAAGTTGATTAAGGAGTTTCATAGGTTAACAATGGACTGAATAGGATTATAATTTACAGGTGACTAAAGGCACTATGGCTGGTCAGACCACAACTCAATGCCTTGACTATTTAGAGAGGATCCTGGGACCTTTTCAACAATTCTTCACATTTTTCGTCTGTGAATGCTTTCTTTCATATATTCTAGAGAGAAAAATATGCAATTTTATCAGACATAATTGCTCTGATGTGGAAATTCCTTCCTTGGTACTAACTTATTCTTGTATGCTAGGAGCTGCTTGTTTTCCTTAGAACTGTAAAGAAAACAGAGACCTGAAGCACAGTGAAGCATCTTGCATTATCCATGACCTCTCTGTGTCAGCTGTCTTTTCTGATCTGAAAATAAGGCAAAGTTGTGGAAATATTTTAATTTGTAGAGTAAGGTAAGCAATTTTTAATACTGCATATGATTGCAGCTGAAATAGAAATATCAGTAGGTTCTTAGCATACAATAATTGATTTTAACAGTAATCAGAAGGTATAAGTCATGGTTTGCTGTACACTTTATTTATGTATCTGTTTTTACAATGAACCTATAGCTACTAGACCAGCCTGAATCATTTTTGAAGGGATTTTTTGAGAGTTGTTTGACATTTTACTTTATAGCTTAAAAAGAAACCTCCCATAACATTATTCATTGAAACAAAGTGACTAAAACATTTTTCTCTGTTGGCCAGTGAAATGATTAATTCTTTAAACTTAAATGATATATCTTTAGGGCTTGTTATGTTCTGAATCATCTTTCCCTTATAAAATTCTGATATAAGGTTTGCCACTCAATCTAGAAATCTTTGGGGTAATTGATAGTATCAGTTATTCTTTTCCAAGTACCTTATCAGAGTCTCTGTAGGGCCATCTTCGGTCTTTATAGCTGCCACTATTGACACAGTAGGCCAAAATCACCTCTTTCTTTATTTCTCGGGCAATGCCTAACACAAGGATACTAATTCTAAGTCACATATCTGAAAGTTAACTACAGAATAATATACACTTTTGAATTAAGTTACTTCTAGCTATGAAGAAATTGCTACAATTACCACAGCTGTAGCTGAGCATTCTTCTGGGTTAATGCAGGAGAGTTTTTATGGCTCTTTGGAATATTATCTTTGTAATGTGCCACCTGCATAGCTTTCACCTGTGTAAACACAATCCAGGAGTGCAGCACAGGTGGGGATCTGTTTGGCAGGGGAGCAGCTCTGTGGGAAGGAAGGTAGGGGTCCTGGTGGATAACAAGCTCAGCATGAGTGAACAATGTGTTGCTACGGCAAAGCGCATCCTAACAGGATGCTAAGTTACATCAACAAGGACATCACCAGCAGCGATACAGAAGTCATCAACCCGTTCAGTTCTTGTCATGCCACACCTGGAATACTGCGTTCAGTTTTGGTCCCTGGTATGCAAAAAAGATGTGGAGAGGCTGGAGAGAATCCAGAGAAGAACTACAAGGATCATCAGAAGACTGGAAAGCCTGCTGTATGAGGAGAGGCTCTACTCCCAGTAGAGGAAGATGTATTTATAAGGGAAGATATATACACAGCAGTCATTTTACAGAAACAGTTGAAATACTTTGACTAGATGATGTTTCACAGTAAACACTAATTACCTATGATTAAAACTTTTTTTCAGGAATGGATCAATTGTGATGTCATTTTGATGTAAAACAAAGGAGTCAAAGTCAGACAAAAATACCTTCTGCCTGAATAACCAGTTTAGCTGGGTTCTGTAGTGACTTGCTGTGTGGCAAGATAGCAATTAGAGAATGGTATGTCTCCTCTCAGATTCTGTCATCTGAAATCAGATAATGTTTGTGTTTACTGAAATATTTTAAGTGCACTGCAGCAGTGTTTTATACCTTGGTTAGCATCCACAAGTGTGAACAGTGTTCTGCAGTGAAACTGTCCATCCCTATTTTGCTGAAAGGTTTGCAAAAAAGAAAAAAGAAAGCAGAATTTTTTCTCTCTCTCTGTAGCTAGAGGTAGACCTGCACATGTATAGCGGTTGTTCACTTACTTGCAGATCTCAGTTATAATTTTGGGGCAGCTTATTACTTATATTCTGACTACAGGCTTCTACTTCGGAGATAATTTTGCTGTCAATGCTCTGGGCATTTTCTTCTGGCAGTGCATATACTTATTTCATCATAGTAATCCCAGCATTTATGTGAGGCCTGTGCAGCATCACTATTTTCTATCTCAAGAGAGGCTATGAGGCTACCTGTTTCTCTCAGTATATAAATGCTTTTCAATTCTTCCCAGTTCTGCTGTTAAAATGTGCTTGTAACTACCTTTGCTGATGCTTTCAAATGAGTTGAGGGTCATGTTAACCTGCACTATTTTCATGCTCAAAGGCTGGTTTTGCTTAAAAGTCAGCTGTGCACATCAGTGAGTTGTCCAATTTGCATCTCTGCAGTTTTTGTAGTAAGATCGGTGTGTCTCAGAGTTCTGGTTGTGTGGCTCTCAGTAATCTCAGTGACCGTGAATCACTAATGATCTCTTTTCCCACAAGCACAATACTTGAGTGTTGAACATATGTAAATACCATTGCACTTTTTTTTTTTTAATCTGAAACGCCCTGGGAGTTTACAAATTCTGCTAGGTTCTTCATTAGTTATTACCTATAGGTCTGTACCTATGTTGGAATGCCTTTGCCTTTTGTTTGCTGCCCTGTATGAGGGGATTGCAATAATGCTATTCTTCCACTGCAGATTTCTAGAATCTTTATCTATCTACTGAAATGAGATGAAGAATAATTTTCTCACCCGCTAGTATTTGACAGTACTTGTCCATGACATTGGAAAATATGATGTTTAACATATTTGTAATCTTAGTTGTGGGCATGTGATAGGCATATCTCTTTAGTACTTTTGTTTACACTGTCTGGGCTTTGTCTTGCTTCACTGGATGGCAAGACATTTTGGAAGTTTGTTACTCAAGAGAGGAGACCTTTTTTAAAGGGGTTTAACTACTATTATATTCATTAGCTCTTATTACATTCATTTAGCTATTGTTACATTCATTATATTCATTAACTACTCCTGTTATATACATATTCCCTAATTTCATTTACATAAGAAATAGTATTGAAGGCAGGGGATGTTGTGAGTCAGTCAGATTATTCCGTTTGAGATACACCGTACCTGGGGATTAAGTTTATAAAAAATGTCTTTGTAATTTTTAGCTATTTTAAATCAGCTTTGTCTCACTATCTTGTTATCATGGGTAGTCTGCTGTTTTGCTTGCACTTCTATTACACTAATAATTTCTCTCAGATTTGACCTTGTGAATGGAATATAGGTCATAGATCCTGATAGGGCTTCAGGAAATTGAAAGGAAGCTACCTTTTAGAGCTTCACCCAGAATGATTTTGAACCTTATGTTTAAATATTGTCCATGAAATCAGCATAAATATATTCATATTTAAATATAAAATAATTTTATATAAAACTGATAATCTTCTGAATTTCTATGTCCCCTCCTGCCACAGAAATTACCACACATTATTGTTTTCCAGTTTTTAAGTGAAATTGCTAGAAGTAAATTTCTGGTCATTATCAAAATGTAGACAGGTGCTACCAGGGTATTCTAAATTTGTAGCTGCTGGGTTAATAGAAAATGACTGCAACTTTGGACTGCAACTAGACTTTTAGTTACTAGCTTTACACTTGGATTGTTGGAGTATATATTGGTAGATCATGAATTAAGCATGTTTCAAGTGGTTTAAATAGAGTAATCAAAGGACAGTGCTATGGCATCTAAAATAAACACCTTTTAAGTACTAAATTTAATATTTCATTATTGGCAGTAGTATATTGAAAGAGAAAAAGAGCTGTTGTGGATATGAAAAACTCACTTTGGATGCTGACAATTTATACATGGCAGCGTTAAATTAATGCCAGATACAAGGAATATTCTGTCTGAATGTTCATATATAGATTCTATGTAGGAACCAATGATTCTTATTTTGGGCTTCAGTTTAGTAAATCTTTCTCTGAATAACACTTAAGCATATGCTGTCTTGAAGAGGAAAACAGTTTAACAGGTGTTTCAGTGCTTTATTGTTTCAAGAGAAACTGGTTTTGAGAAAATCAGTCTTCAGAAGACTTGGATGTTCTCACAGACAAGAATTGGTTAAGCTGGTTACAGAAAACAAAGAAAGAACCACAAAATTCCTCCCCAGCCTCAAAATCTTTTCAGTTTTTATGAAGATAGTGAGGAGAGTATTTTTACCTCTGTTTCCAATGCGAAATGGAAGGTTTTATATTTATGTAGCTTGGCAGCTCTGTTAACAGCCTTCCTATGTGAAAGGTGTTTATTTATTTTGCTGATGTTGAGTTCCATTCTTTTCTGTTTGTTTTCTTTTTCTTTTCTAGGGTGATAGGGTTGAAGCAACAGGATGAGAGATTTCAAGCATGCTGCTGAATGTTGTGATCTGACAAAACTGCATGGCTTCCTTTATCAAGACAGCTGTGTTTTTACATAAATAAATCTTAATTTGACCTGCAGAAGGATTACGCCTGGTACTCAAATGTACTACCTTGAAAGGTCACCTTGACTTCCCCAAGGTATTTGCTTCAAGGCATTCAGGATTTCAGATGAGAAAGCCTCACAGACTGAGGTATGTTATTGTTTACTACTTCAGAAAATAAACTCGAATGCAAAGGACACCTTCCAAAATAGCATAAAAGTTATTGTGACTCACAAAATCACTCTGAAATAAAGATTGCTGAATGGGCTGCTTCTCTTTGACAGTCATAGTAGTATGGATCACAGAGAATATTTAAACTGTTAAATTAAACTCCTGTTAAATAGATTTTTAGCTCTGGTAACTGGCCTTCCATGGATGTCATTAGGATCATTCATAGAAGCAAGACAAGACTGGGATGATGAGAAATTCTCAGCAGTTATATATGCAGCACTGGTTTTTGCAGCAATTAAAGACATTTAAAGTCTTTTGTTTTAATAACCACTGATAATAGGTAATTTGGCCAATGCTCAGATAAACTCATTACAGGGAATCTAAAATATGAGCTCTGTTTATTAAAAATCAGTTTCGTCAGAATCAGAGAGTCGTTAGATCAGAATTATTACATCAGAAAATCATTATCTTGTACATTTACGTCAAGCTGCATGTTTATCACATAATATAAATAAGGCAAAATTTAAGAGAGAAATTGACCTATTGCTACATATGGAATTATGTGTTGTTTTTTTTTTTTATTTCTATGCTGAACAATATGTGTAAATAACCTTTGTCTCATGAAAATTTTGAAGATGTTTTTGTAGGTCTAAACCTGACAATTTAGTTAAATACGTTCTCCTGTAACTACAGACTTCCGTACTCTTATCAATTGGCTAGGTTATATGCACACAAATCATTCAGGGGTAGAATTCTTACCTGATCATGAGATCAATAATATTGAGGCTTGGGCTTATATCCAATTTGAAATCTGGCTGAGGCTATCAGCCAGATGGTAACTTCAGTGAAGAGTGAGAAAACATAAGGTAAGACATGCTTTTAATAAAGTGACTTTACGCAGAATGGAGAGGCTCACAGTAATCCATTTAAGCTTTTCCATTTGCAAGTTCAGTTTAATTCACTTGCAGTGAATTAAACAAGCAGCATTTGTGTCCCACTTCTGTTATTTCCAGTTGTCCCTCTTTTGTTATTTCCAGTTGTTTGGCTTGGTTTTTGCACTGAAATGTTAACATACGAAGAAAATAGCAATCTCTGTAAATAATAGCTGGACACTAAAGCAGTCATTCTGAAACCTTCTAGTCTGTTTTAAATTTTCAATGTACACACCATCTATGGGAAATGACCCATGTTTTTACATTCAGATGCATATTTATTATTTGAACCAAATAACTAATCCACTTGATCAAGGAGTTTTTTCTTCAGCCTTATTGTTTCACATTTCGCTAAGTATGGTGTTTATGCAAGAAGCAGAAGGGAAGCTGTTTGTAATCTAATTTGTAAACTTTTCAGTCTCTTATTCTTTCTTTATGTGCAACTAAACATAGAAAAAAAAAAATGTCCTGAAAGAACTTCATGAAATTGTCGTGGTTTAAGCTCAGCTGTGTATCAGCCTTGCAGTCTCTCTCTCACTCCCCCTCTTTTTCCCTCCTCCCTGCTCCTGGAGGATTGGTGAGGAGAATTGAAAGAATGTAACTCCCACGGGTTGAGATAGGAGCAGTCCAGTAACTAAGGTGTAACACAAATCACTGCTGATGCCACCAATGATAATAATGATAAGGGAAATAACAAGGGAAGATAATACAACTGCTCACCACCCACTGACCGATACCTCACCCCACCCAGCAGAGATCTAACCCTTCCGGGTAACAGTCTACCTCCTAGGCATGACGTGCTGTGGTATGGAATACCTCTTTGGTTAGTTTGGGTCAGGTGTCCTGTATCTTCTTCATCCCGGCTTCCCCTCCTCCCTGGCAGAGCATGAGACTCAGGAAGTCCTTGGTCAGAGTAAACATTTGAGCAGTAACTAAAAACATCAGTGTTATCAGTGCTGTTCCCAGGGTGAAAGTCAAAAACACAGTACTGCACCAGCTACTAAGAAGGAGAAAAAAATGACTGATACTGCTGAACCCAGGACGGAAATCTTGGTTAATATTCCAGGCACAAAATGCTAAAATTAAGATGTCCACAGCAACTACTATAGTATCGTGTAATGTTTCCAAAATTTTAAGCAAAGTCAGACATACCAGGGTAGACATAAGGGTTTGTAGGAAGACCTTTAGCACTGATATTTGTACACCATCACTGTCACCTGATGTACCTCTGCAGCTCTCCTATTCTATGATTCTGTGATTCTATTTGGGTAAGGTTTTGTTTGCCTGATTCTTTACACACATACAGGGTTTTGTATGTATCTCTGTGGTTCAGAGCTTTACAGTCTGCACTCAGGAACCCCTGAAAGGAAGCCTTGCTGATCTGGCTCTGTATATCCCTAGACACACAAGCATTGTGTAGAATCAGATACATGATCACAGAACTGAAGAATAATGTAGTATTAATCTATGCCTAAAAGCAGAAGTAATGTAGCATATCCAGTATTACATAGTTGATTGTTGTTTGTTATCAGTAGACATGCAACAACACAGAGCAGGGATCTCTTGGCACCTAAAGACTGACTAAAATGTAAACCATTTGCATAGACTCAGAGAAGTGCTTTCCAGTAGATATAATACCTTACTGTAATGAATGATGATTTCTGAAAATGAGGGAGTAATTTGTGCCTGAACTGAAGCTTATGATGAAACCTGCATCATTTAGTAGAAATTATTAATATACTTTTGGACATATAGCAATTTTATTCTTCACATGAATATACCTACTGGAATGTGCACAATGAAAATCTACCTTCTTTTGTTGTTGTTGTTCAAAATAGTTTCCCAAATTTGTTAGGAGCGTGATTATTGTAATATTTGTCAGAAATTCTCACATTAGTTTTCAAAAACTTGCAGCTAGGTGAAATGAAAAGTGTTCCTTTGAATATTAAAAAGTATACCTACGTGTCAAGTTTAATTTTTCAGTCTTCAGACACAGGGCTTTTGTTCTTGAAATCAAAAGGATTACCTTATGTGTAACTAGCTGCTTGTCTTTGAGAAGGAAAAATTATGAACCATTTTATATCAAACTTTATTTCTATTCGCCCTACAAGAAGAAATAATGTATGGATAATCTCCCCTCAAGAACTGAGATTTTCAGAGTTATAGATGATTGACAAAATTAATTTTAAATGGAAATAATTAATCTGTCTTAGTTCTGTTTGTCAGCTAGAGCCAAAGTGAAAGGTTCAGGCCAATGTCTTTCTGTAACACACTCTACCACGTAGGTAGATACTATTAGATATATAGGTATAGATATTATACCTATATTATGCCCCAAGTATTGTGCGAGTTCTAGATTATGTTGAACAGTTGTTTTTAAAATTAGAATTAAATTCATCGATGTATAATAATAATGTTTTGTTTCAAAAATATTTACTATATTATTAATTTTTCATGATACCAACTTTGTGATGAATATTCTATATGATCAGGATAGACAGTAACTGTATCAGAGAAACAGGTAGGTGGAGGTCAAGGGAGAGAACAGTGAAGAAAAGATTATTTTTATGCACATATAAAAACTGAATTAATTTTTAAGTATAATTTGTGTGTTCATTTTTAGCTGATTGAAAAATGATTTTATCAGGAAAGATACTGAACTATGGATGAGGAGGCAATAGCTAATGAAATCACTCAAGACATTTTGGCTTTTTATTGGCATTTATACTTGATTGCATGGTGTTTCTGTAACAGCCAAACAAGATGCAATTCCAGAATACTTAATTTTTCTGTCATTTGTTGGTAGCATAGAATAATGAATTAAATTGGAAATGGTTCAAGCATAGTGTCACTTAAATCACAAAATTGTCATGTAAAATGTCTTTACCAAAGAGAAAGAGATAGTGGTTTTGGTAACAGAAAAAGTAAAAGAAATGGAAATAGAAATCCTGGACTAAATCCTGTAAAATTAAGTCTTCATTATGGTGACTACTAAAAGACATTTAAGTGACCTGAAGATTATTTTTCAATCTCCTAATGTTACATATACTTCCACTAGAAGATAATGGAATATAAATTGTTCATAATCAACACTGGATTGCCTTGTCAAAGTAACAGAAGTGATTCTAACTTAAACAAGAAAGTTGTAAGTAATGATGACCACTCTTCTTTCCAGAAATTGGTAATTTTCTGAACCTTAGGCCATAGAGCACCAAGCAGCACAAGTCTTGTCATAGCAAGCAGAAAATATAACTACAGGCCAACAATTTTCCTCTATATTTTGCATTCTTATGAAGACTGAGCTATGAAACCCATTTAAAGTCTTGTATAGCTCTCCCTTCCTAGAATTAGCCCTGAAAGACTCTAGCATTGATCTTCCTCAGCTGATCTATGAGCAAATTATCTATAAACTAAAACTTCCACCTTATATTAAGTATGATGACATCAACTGTCAACCTAATAAGGCTTGCCTTCATATTCATATTTAAGATAGAACTAACATGCAGCAGTTTTCTGAAGCATTTTCACTGCAAAGTGAAAGCCGCCTTAATACTGTTTCTTTAAAGTACATCTACCCCACATGCATTAAAATGTTGACAGCAAGTGACTGGTGAAGTTTCAATTTGTATTTCATGGGAAAACCTCTGCTTCTTCAGATGTGACTGAATCATACAACACAAGAAATTAAGAGCTGAGGTCAATGCTGAGCTTCTGAGAGGTAGCTAGTACACCTTTTGATTTAGGTACTTGCAGCAGAGATATTTCACATGCTCCTATTTTTCTACTATCAGATTTAAAATATGTTAGATGTCATCCTTATAATTGCAATTTGATGGAAAATCCTTAAACTAATTGTTTTTTTTTAATATGACTTCATTGAGAAAATGTTTTCCTCTCAACTTGCCAGAATCTGATCCAGTCAGTATTGCAAATTTTACATACATAAACGTGTAACCCTGCCTGCTGGTTTCCATCATGAGTTCCCTAAGATTTCATCTAAATAATAATGGAAGAGAGCTAATGATGGTACACAATCATATCTAACACCTTTCTTCAAGTTAGTGTTACTAGGTGTGAGTCCACATTACAAAAATGCCATCATAGTTAATGCAAGTCAAACGTTGCAAAACCAAAATCGTATGAGCTCTGAATTGCCACACTGATGGACAGTCTTGAAATCAACTCTGTGCAAATAGTCACAGAGTTGGCTTCACCCCCTGTTTAGACATTTATTTGACAAATACCTGTGTTTATGTAATAGAAAAGGAAATTGGAATATGAATTAATTTCTTTTTCTCATTATTTACCTCTGTAGTACTGGACAACTTGAAATATTTCAGATATATATCTGGGATTTAGAGGGAGATAAACAATAATTCACACAAAATGAATAGTTACTGCTTGTCAGCACCTCAGGGCAGATCTTTGTTACTTTGTCACTTTAAGAATACACGTACATGTATTTTTGAAAACTGGAATAGCTTCTGAGTGCTCCATGCAATGATACAACTGAATGTCAGATACAGCTTCTTGCCTCCTCAGTAGTCACGATCTTATTTAATTTTTGCCAAATAACCAAGGAATTAATTGATGCTAATCCCTGGTTGTTCAGTTTTTGTTAAGGGCTCTCAGCTCTGTTAGAAATACTTTAGCAGTATTGAAAGGCATAAATAGTTGTGATTTGGCTAAATAGAGGCTGATTATTTCCCAGTATTTCCATTTCCGTTCTTATTTGGTCAATAAATTGATCCAAGGTATTTCATTAAATTAAGAAAAACGCCTGCTCCAAAGGCCATTATGTATTCTGCTTGGCTTTTTTTATGCTGGTGAGTTTCTGCTGCTAGTTATGTCTGTGAAAATTTATTTTTTCAGCAATTAAAAGGCACATGCACAGATAAGATTGTGGTATGGCATAACTGATTTTTATGTTCTGAGAACACTTTTCAGACCAAAAAATATTATCATAAAATCAGTATTGTCACTATAATGCAGACATGTATGTAAATCAATGGTGTTTAAATAAAGGAAATCATGCACAAGCACAAAGTAATCAGCCTTCCTAGAAGATACATGGTGAGATCTAGTTATCTTAAATCACATACCAGGCTTAGGCTAACAGGATTGCTTCCAGTGATGCTGAAAAATACCTTCTTGTCCTGACTGTGGAGGAAGTTGCTTCATTGACAAAGACTGCTTCATTATACGCGGCTATCCATACTGGGGGAGAATGGATACCCACTTGTTTCTTGATCTACATAAAGGTAAGAGCTCAGCTACTTAGAGTCCAAACAGATTATGAATGGTCTCACCAAGTCAGGAAGTCTGAATCTAAAGCAGAACCCATCACAAAGAAGTGTACAGACAACAAATGATGTGAATGCCAAAGAAGCTTGCAGTCACAAGTGGAAAAGTCAGTCAAGTTTTAAAACAGAATTTCAGCAGCATCTCTGTGCAGTGCTCAGATTTGCAAATACCGTGCCAAAAAAAAAAAGTGGCTAAGCCGGATGCTCATGCAGGATTTGCCTCATTTGTAGTACAACAGAAACTGTTGCATTCATATAGCAAGAAAGAAAATCACATTTAAAATGTAGCTAGGGATGGCTACACAATAAAAATTCAGTATGGACTTGCATCAAAAAATACTGTAGAACAAGGGGGGCAGGAAGTTCATAGTCTAGAGCAAGCACGGTCTTGGCATTGCTGGTATCTGGATAATGTGAGAGTGATTTTTCTCAAGATATATTTCCAGACTAATTAGTTCCATTTCCAGCATTTGTACCTGAGGTCAACATTTCTAATTTTTCAAAAATGCTCAGTTTTGTGTAGGATGGGAGAGTGCATATGCAATCTTGATGGCCCGCCAGTCGGAAGTTGCTGCGGTGTCTGAAAGCCTGTCAGTTCCTGTCATGCTCTTCCACTGCAGCTCTTGGCTGTCCGTTTGAGGCTGTCAAAGAGTCAAACGTTTCCTGCTTGGCAGCCAGATGGAAAGGAAGTCCCATCTGCTTCCTGGTGCTGGAGGTGGCACAAAGAGCAGGGCGGCCAGTAAAAGCAAATGTACAAAGTGAGACAGGATTTGGTGACCTTTCAGAGCACAGCTTTGTGTTACCCTGCTGGAAGCGATTGCCATTTCTGTGTATAATTAATTGCATGACTAAAACCATATCCACGGCCTCAAAACAAAGAGGATTAGAGGTTTAGAGGTTTAAAGGTTTAGAGATTTTTGATTCTTGTTTCCGCTTTCTTTCATAAATGTATCTTACGATACATTTCTGGACTTAGATCAGTCAGAGCCCTATCGCTCACATATCACCTCAGAAGAAAAAGGTTTTCACTGATTGTTTAAGATAATTAAATGCTTATAAAAAGTGCCAGACAAGTTGATGGCCTTAAAGTCTTCCTCTTCTGAGATGATTCTCCTCTAAATTATATGCAGTGCCTTCAGATGCTGCTTGAAACCTGTTTCCTGTATCTTAAATCCATCTTTTCTTTCTTTATTTTCTGACTGGTTTTGGATCCTATACCAGTTGGTATAAATCGTCTTAATAGTGTAAAATTAATTTAGATTGTGCTTGGCTTGCAGGATGTAAGGCTTCTGGCCAGAAAGTGTAGAAATGTGGAATGTCTCTCTGTATTGAGTACAGAAACAACAGATCTGTTTAAACTAACTTGGAGGTGGTACAATCAGCAAGAGCCTTTCTTACTATTTAAATACTTCTTGAGACACATTATATTGCCAGAAGATAGCTTTTGAGTTAGTCCAAGTAGCTTAGCAAAACACCATATCAAGCCAGATCCACGTGACCAGATCCATATGTGTGCTTTACTGGCCTGAATCTTGCATTTGGACAAACATCCCGCTGCTACCAGTTGTGCAGTGCTTCTCTCTCTGGCTGCAGGACATGCATTAAGGTACTTTCATTTTCTTATGAGTTTTCCAACCTTGGCACTATTGTCTGTGTCGATGACAAGAAAACAGTATTTTTTATATAAAAAAATTTGTAAGTGTAGTTACTAATCACTAATGGAGGCAGATCTGGAAATAAAACTAAAAGAAACAACCAAAACACAGCCAAAACATCCACTAAATTGACAATAAGGGATTTTAATGTAAATTTTCTTAAGGAGTTGAGATTATAAACTACGGATTGATCTGTACTGAAGGTTATAAATGTATGTGCCTGTCCATTGCTTAGTTTGTGTTTTCTGTGTTAGTCTCAATTTTATGGACTTTTTACAACCCTGTACTCAGCACTGGTGAGGCCACACTTCGAATACTGTGTTCAGTTCTGGGCCCCTCACTACAAGAGAGATACTGAGTTGCTGGAGCAGATCCAGAGAACAGCAACAAAGCTGGTGAAGGGTCCGGAGCACCAGACTTACGAGGAACAGCTGAAGGAACTGTGGTTATTTAGTCTGGAGAAAAGAAGACTGAGTGGAGGCTTTATTGCACTCTACAACTACCTGGAAGGGGGATAGAGCAAGGAGGTGGCTGGTCTCTTCTCCCAAGTAACAAGTGATAGGACGAGAGATACCGTCTCAAGTTAAAAACCAGGGAAGGTTTTGATTGGACATTTGAAAAAATTTCTTCACCAAAAAGGTGATCAGGCATTGGAATAGGCTGCCTAAGGCAGTGGTGGAATCACAGTCCCTGGAAGTGTTAAAACACCATGTGGATGAGGCCCCCCGTGACATGGTTTAGTGTGGCCTTGGAAGTGCTGGGGTAGTGGTTGGACTTGATGATCCTAAAGATCTTTTCCAACCTAGCTGATTCTGTGATTCTATGACTTTGCTGATACTGCACTACAGAATTTATGAGAGACTGGTAGCAATGTCAATATCTGGATTTCTGAAAAACATAAACAAGGAGTTGGTATTATTTTTATTATGTCCTGGCTTGCATATTATTAAAGAGCATTAGAAATTGATTGATTTTTGGCAGTATTCAGGTAGGTTATTCTCTGCATTTCCTGCAGAGAAACGTAGTGTTTATTTTATCCAGTGCCACCCAATCAGTTACATTTTCCATTTACCCTCTTGATGCTATCCTGTTTGCAAATGGCACTCATAGGGTCATCCACCTTTGTAGCCACCACTGATGCCGTGCATGATGTCTCTGATTTATGCTAACCATTGTCTTGCAGGCACAGCAAGGAATGGAGAGAGTGGTCACAAGACTGTGTAGCTAGTTCATTATTGCTCAGTGCTTTTATATTTTCTTCAAATGTTGCCGTATTTCAATCAAAAATTACTAAAACCCAAGATTATTTATTTTACATTGTCCTACAATTTCCTTATACTAATTGGGAAGAAAAATAAATCTTCATTTAATGAAAAAAAAATCAGTTTATTGGGCTAGGTTATTAGCCCAATAAATTGATTATTATTATTATTAGCCCATTAGCATTTACTTGCATGGAATTTTTCTTTTTAACATCCAACTCTTTGACCTCTTCAGAAGGGAACACAGCAAGTTATGGTGGAATAATTGTCTGGACCAACGCTCATGTCTTAGTCCATCCCACATCGCAGAGAAAAATGAAGGCACGAGGCATGCAAACTTCAGCTCCCCTGAAGTATTATTTTGAAATCGTAATAAATCTTGTTTCCATTTGAAATTTTTCCATATTTGAAATTCTGCCATAAGCTTCATCAGAATTGCCGGTAGAAGATAAAATGCAGTTTACAGGCTCTACTCAAGACACAAAAATCTAGTTCCAGCAGATAATACCTTGTTTCAGTATGCCTGATCCTTTTTCTCCAGTGTTCTCCAGCTCCCACCACAGCAGCAGTTCATCTACTAGAACACTGCTAGGCAGTAGTAATAAGAGAGAGTCTGGGAGAGGACAAGGTGGGGGAGAAGTTATGTGACCCAAATGTTCTGCTCTGCAGTATTTAACAGTACAGGAGATAAACAGTGGGGAAGAAATATGGATTATAGCTGCAATGTTCTGTATTTCTTCAAATGCAGGGTGCACGACGACTTAATAAAGAAGAAAACCTAGAAACATCTACTAACGGAGCATAGGTTATGATGAGCAATATTTTAAAGGAATAAGAGAGTATGTAGTTGCTATACCTTAGGGAGGACTTGGAGTGTAAAACATGGTCCAATACCACTTAACTCTTCAGTTTGCATAATGGTATGATGTCCTTCAAGGATATGTCCTAGACCTCCACAAGATATTCAGGAGGTCAGAGATGTTAATGAGAGAAGAAAGTCATCTACATTCTTCTGGAGTTCTGTCAACCACTTTATTAACAACATTTAATAATATAAAAATACTTGGTGGCATCACACTTTTTTGGTATCAGTATTGTAAAAGACTGAAATGATACTGCCCGTCACTTGATGAGGCAAACACTAAACATGTCCAATAGCAGTTTCTGAAGCTGTGTGTGGGAATCATGGCCAAATTGCTTGGCAGGTCACACTCAGCTAGTTTCGAAAATCTAATCTTGCTGATGTCAAGATCAGAAAAGAGAAAAAGTTTGAAAAATATGATTTAAAGATGTTGCTGGGAACAGAAGGGATGATGACACTGGGCTGACTGATAGACACCTTTGTCTTCAGAACTGGTGCCAGTTTGAACCCTTGAACCAGTTTTGGCACAGACTTCTCTGATAAGTAACTGATGAACAAATAGCTATGCAGAATTTAAATCAGGGGCACACAGTTAATTTTCACTAAGGTATAGGGTATTTCTTGGGGAGGTCACTGTCTGAATCTGAATCCATTTGGATTGTGCTACCCTAGGCTTCTTGATCTGAAACAGCTTACAAAGCATTAGTGTTTTTCCATTCTTTAAATGTGAAGTGCTTACATTTAAAAGTTTAATTCGTATTATTCACAGTACCTGCTTATTTACAATGACTGAAATAAAAAATAATTTACAATGATTCTGAAAGTTTGGACATTTGTTTACAAAGTAACATTTCTTGTAGTTTCTGAGAGAGAGATATAACTAGTTGACTGAAACTGATTTATATTCTCTCATGAGCATTTGCTTCGGCAGATAATTAAACTGAGGATAAGGATGAAAGAGAGTGAAACAGCTGTAGTAATATTGTATCATGTCTACAAGCAGTTTCATACAATAAAGGAATATTAAAAATTAAAACTATGAGATGAGGCTATGAAATGTTAAAATTCAAGATGGAAGTTAGTCTTAAACCTGTAAGGCTCCTTGTCCAAGCCTTTCTTTACTTCATCAGTTATTATTACACTCCTTATCCTCTGTACCTGCTCTCTCTCCCCTGCTTTCATATACTGTCTCATCTCTTATTTCCATCCCACTCAGTAATACCCTGTGACTTACTCTCATGACAATTTACTCCCTTCCCTCTCGCAAAGTTATTTTCTCCTCCACTTTTAACTTCCTAAATCAGAGGTATCACTGGGAGACCAAAAGAAGTGTTTACTGACCTCATTTTAGGTGCTTAGACTCAGCACTCACAGCATAAGTTGTGAGAACATCATGTTCAGTCCTTTGTGGATGACATCTTTGGGGAATTAAACTGTTAAAAGCTAAATCTATTGAACATGTGTGAACTTCCTTCCCCCACCTCCAACAGTACAAAATTTAATCAACTAGGGTCAGATTTCAGAGGGATGGCAAAAAGCACATCCTTGATACAAAGTGCACTTACTCCTCCCTCTGCTCTTCTCTTCCAAAGTTCTTTTCTCCCTCCCTAATTCCCTCCCTCCCTGGTTTTAATCTGAAACTTGAAACACTTGGTTTAAGGTCATTGGAGTCAGTTCACATGGACAAAACTCATTTTTCCATAACCTTGTCCTTGAAAGCAGCTAAGATATTTTTGCTGTAATATTCCCAAAACAAACAAACAGAAAGTCAAAACTGATCCAATGGAGACATCTAAGATGGAAAATTTTAACCCCAGTGATTGAAGCTTGGCAATGCTACAAGTACCTGAAAAAGGGCCATTAAACAGGAGGTGTCAGGGAATCAAAATAGGTTTTACTATTAGCTTGGGGTTTAAAGCATGTATTAAACCCACTATTTTTACAGTTGCCAAAGTGTTAATCAAATGCATTAATTTTCCTTCCTGGTTGTCTACAGGTACACTAACCTAGGCAGCAGCTCTATTATAGTTTATGGTGATTAAATATAGGTGCTAAACCAGAACCTGTCTTTGGTCTCCATGTGCTCTGTAGGAAGTCCAGCACTACTCATGTATGAGTCTTGGAAGCATACAGTGAGCATACAGTGAAAATAAATTCTGCTGTTCAAATGCTTAGTTAGCTTGCTCAATTGACTAGATGACGGAGAAGTAGAAGGCACAGGGAGAGAAATCAGAAGTCCCTGTTGTCACTGAAGTTCACTGATAAGAGATCCTATCTGGTACTGATAATGGTTTTGACCAGATTTACATCTATGGAGGTGGGTTTTGCAGACACTCATTGGTGCAACATATGACATGAAGAGTTAAACTACAGTAAGATCCGTGGAACTGCTGAGTGCTGTTTAACCCACTGTGTTTTAACTTAGTATTGTCCAAGTTAAATGACAAAGTTGTGAAGCTATTGCCTAACTACAGATTTCTCAGACTTTAAACACCTTTTGAATGATTCTTTCTAAAAGCACTGAAAGGATCATTTTTCAATCCAAAGTTAAAAAGAAAAGAAAAAGAGTAAAGAATAAAAAAATAAACCCATTATTTCCAAGGGAACAAAAAAAAAAAAAAAAGGAAAATATTCTTGTCTAAGTTACTTCAATGGAAAGCGCTGTGAATTAAAAGTAGAATTTTATCTGTCCTTTGAAATAAAATTCCAGTATTTTTGTTGTACAAAATGTTTAGGGTTTTTTTGGGGTTTTTTTTTTTTTTTTTTTGAGAAACTTATGGACATGGGAAATGATCATTTGCTCATGGGACCCCAGCATGTGCTATTCCAGTTAAACCATAATATCCAGATGTAAATGAAGTGCTTCTTCAGAGGTCACAGGATGTTCCTATTGACTCAATTTCTTTAAGACAGAATCCATACCATTTTTTGTTTTGCCTTAGCACTGTTGGTGCCTCAAAAGTACTGCACAGGAATAATTTTTGTTTAGTTTTGTCATTTTTGATTTTTCCTCCTGCATTATGGCCATGAGTACATGTATCATAGTTACATTACCTTTTCTGAGAAATGAAACAAAGATACTGAAGTTGAAACACTAGTCTGTTTCCTTTGGTAGCAAAACAAACAAAAGCAGCCCAAGTAAAAGATTTTCTTAACACTGAAGGAACAGTGTCTGCCTCTGCAAAAAAGTGTTGAAAAATCAGGTGCTGAAGCTCAGTATTGATATTTCCTGTGTCACCTCTCCTCACAAAGTGCTGGACATAAATGGTTCCTGAAATGCGTAAATAGAGGCAAGGATTTCTGACAGCAGTGCAGGATTTATTTGCATCCCAAGAGAATTTGCCAGAGCTGCAAAAAAGAGAGCATACCACCCAAATTATGCCATTCTTAAACTATTTAGAGACAGTTTAATTATCAGCTAAATTAGCATTAGAAACAATAAGTCTGTATACTTTGTATACCAAAGCTTTAGGCCCTGATGGTGTCAGGTGGCGGGGAAGGTCCTGATTTTTTTCCCAGAGCATGTGGTTTTACTTTCCATTAGTATTCCAAGACAGGGATCCCAAAAACATCTGAGTAGACTACACTCAACCCTAATGCAGTGTCTCATGATCCCACCATGTGATCACTGTGACCATTTCACATACCCTGTCATCATATAACATTCTTCTGTCAGGAATTCATTTTTTTACATGGCAAACATCTCATGCATTTTAGATTTTTTTTCATGTGATATAGCAGAAGAAAACAAAGATAATAGTCAATTTGCAAAAAGAAATGCCAACGTTCACCAAGTAGTCCTTTAGAAATACTTCCCCCAGCTTTAATACCATCAGAAATGTTTACTTTGGAATTTGTGACATCTGAAAACAGATCTCCCTTTTGCAGCAAGAAATCTGATAGTGGCATACACACTCGTGCCAGTAGCCAGTAGTTCAGTGGGCTGTCTCTGACAAGGACCTCTATCCTGCTTCAGAAAATGCTACAGAACCCACTGGCCACAGAAACATTCTTCTAAACCCATGTTTGTTAGATGTTGATATCTGCCTTGAAGCCTAACTCCCTCCACAAACTCCTGTGGGCTTTCAGAAATGCTTATTTTGGATGTTCTTGTTACCGACAAATGTTCGAGACTTTTTTGAGTTCTGCTGGACTCTTGACCTAAGCGATACTTCATGTCACAAGTCCCAGGCTTACTGCATGTTCTGGGTAATTATTTCATTCATATTCTATTCCCCACACCACAACTGGGAAGCAAAGTTTAGACTAAGTGGCTGGCTACGTATGCCAGCTTTAAAATGATTTTCTTTTTTTAATAGTGTAAAAGAGAATCACCAAGGTCAGCAGTACAATGAAGATTAACCTAATAAAGAAAAGGTCTCATTCAGTGGTAAATAAAACTAGCAATATTTCTTTTTCTGAATGAAACCATGCCTTGGACAACATTCTAGCATCAAGACTAAAGGCCCCAAAAGAAAGATTACACCAAATACAGAAAGTGATGTAGTTTTGTTATAGATAAAAAAATAAAATATCACAAAATCATTAGGTTTGGAAGGGACCTCTGGAGACCATCTAGTCCAAGCCCCCTGCCAAGGCAGGGCCACCTAGAGCAGGTTACACAGAAAAGTATTCAGGCAGTGTTTGAATATCTCCAGAGAGGGATACTCCACAGCTTCCCTGGGTTCCTGCCTCCTGTTACTTGTTTTGCAGTAGCAGCTCAAGCATCTAATATTTAATGTTTGGTTTGTGTCACTTGTTTTACAAGAAAATAAGGTCCATCCTTATCATCAGTGCACAAATCCCCTCTTTTCTGGAAGCTATGAAACCTTCTTGCACAACTCCAATGTTTTACACCTGCACTCCGTGTCTTAAAGTCTTCGGAAATGAAGTAAATGAAATAACTAGCAGTAAATATGTCCAACATAGTTAGTCAAGATAAATAGAAGATTTAATCGTGCCTTTAGCCTGAAGATTTTTGCAAATGTTGGTTATGAATCTTTATGCTTAGCAAGTGTAACATATCGCTGAATCAGAATGATAGTAATTTACACAATATCTGCATTCCTTAGTGCAATACAAACATGAAGCACAGCACAGGAGAACTGGGCTTACTGTAGTGATCTTCTGTAGCCACACATTTATTTCCTATTTGATTTGGAGACTGTTGCTGCCTCAGCATCTGCAGAATGCAAACTGCTTATATGATTACTGCTGTACTAAGGCTGGGGTTGTGCGTGAATGTCCACTAAAGACACTCAGGCCTGTGTGGCATCTCCTCAGGGCTGCACAAAAGGATAGATTTTTCATGGGGAAAAAAGTGCAGTTGGAACCTACCAGCAACTCAGTGTTGCTAAGCAGCTGTGGAAAACACTCCTTTTTGGAGCACTCATCTGATTGATAGTGCCTGTCTTCTCTGATGGCTAACTGCTGATGTCCTAGCTCCTACACCTGCTTGTCCACAGCTCCCACCTTTGCCAGCTCTCCTTTCCCTTATGTTGTTCAAACTTCCCCTTCTAAAATAACCCCATTTAAAACATTTTGTAAAGCCAGCGGTGGCCAAGTTACCATGAATTTTGCAGAGAATCTAACATTCTCTTATTATGATCTGTTCCTTTTGTCTGTTTTTCATTTTTCATAAGGGTTTCAGGATAAGGGCTGTATTATTTCAATGTTTACAAATTATCTAGCATGACACGATACAGTCCACATTTTTGTCAGCCTTAGAAAGCAAAGTTCAAAAATGTTCAGGCTCTACAATTCACCACCATTGTCTGCAGCTGCTGAAACATAGGATAGGACACATTAACTGGTAAAAAATGCAGAAAACCAGCATGTATTCCCAGTTCTTGTTCATTATTCACTTGGATTGTAATTCCATTAAAAAATACATATAAAAATGCCATTGAATCTTCATTAACAAATGTTAGGGTAGTGCTTTAGTGTTTCATACGCTGTCTTATTTTGTTGTCTGGATGTTACAACCTGATGTTCATCCAAGCAAGTGCAGAGTATCCTGCCTCAGTTCACAGCTGCACCAGTATGAGGAGGCTAGGATTGTACAACCAACCATTTCCAGTCTGGAGTGTGAATTCTCAACGCGTACTGTGAAGCATTTCAGAGAGACAAGGAAACGACCAGTTCAGCAAACAGTGCTGGTCACACAGACCATCTTAAAGAAATGGTTCTCAAACAGGGAGGGGATCTTCCTTTCCCCCTACAAGGTCTTAGTTTGTGGGATCCTTTTTCACTAAGTCTGTGTGTCACCTTTCTTGCAGTGACAGGGAAGTAATGGAAGACATGGGTGTGACCAGACAGCTAAGGGTGCAGTCACACATTCCCCTGTAAGACTGGGCGCTGTAAGACTACCAGTGTGTCTGGAAAACCATGGCTGCATGTGAAGGGAGAGGAGTGGGTTGGCATCAGCATTTCTGTATAAGTGACAGGAAGAAGGAAAGTAGGAGCAGCAAGCTCTTCCTCCACTATGCTGGGACAGGGCACCAGGGTCCAGGTGGAAAGGAGGGTGGTGACTACAAAATTAAAAGGGAATGGTATCCTAATAAGAAAAAGATGGAGTGTTCCAGGAGTCTGATTCTTATTGTATATATTGAGGCAGCAATGGGCATCTAAAATATCAGACATAGTCATGAAAGTAGTAGAAACTTAAAAGTGCCCAAAGAAAATGTTAATTCTGCTTCAGTTCCTGCCTTTTTTCAGTTTTATGTTACTCACCACTGAAATACAGACACATTAAAAGACACTCAAAAGAAGGCTCTTGCAAAGAACCAAGCTTGAAAAAAGTATGATGCATCTCAGTCTCAGATAATTCAGCTTCAAAGCAACTAAGAATAATGTTAATAGTGGGCAGCTCCCATCAAATTAGTATAATAGTGTACAGGTCTGAGCAGCAGAAGGAGGAGAGTGAAATTAGGGTGAGTTATATGCTAGACTAAATACATAATAAGAGAATGAGAGGCTTATTCAAACCACTAGATAATTTTTTTCCAGTTATGTCATTGGCTTGTTTTAATTATTTAGTTTTCCTCAAAAATGTTTGTGTTAGTATAGAATTCAGGAAATAGTACAGCATTCAGCTGTTTTGATCTCCAGAGCACTGAAGTGGTCTACTCCCAGCACAAGGGCAGCAAGAGATTAAAGTACTTCATACGGCCTATAGAATCAGAATCTATTGTCCTTCTTTTGACAAATATTCTGGTTTTCACATAATCCTTTTGAAGTTGTGGAGCTACATATTGTTTGAGGAATTCAAAATCTGACAATGGAGGAGTCCCTTCTAAGGGGGAAAATAATGATTCTTTGTTCCTCCCTTGGTATTTTGGAAAGCATACCTCCCAGCCGTGCTGACTGTGATGACTGTTGTTTTCATGATGTTGAAATTGTTGGCTAAAGCCTTCATCTGCGTAATTCAGTATTTGATTTTTCATCTGGAGGAAGGAGAGGAAGGAAGAAAGGGCAGTCCAAACTTTTTCTTCAGTTGAAGTTTTGTTTTCACAAATAATAACAAGCACATTAGCTAAAGAACTAAAAAAATAATTAGAGATGAAGGTTACTTTCACAGATCTTTGATAGTCTGGTGACATTAAAAGCAAGGAAGATTTGATATAGCCAACACACCAAATTAGTCTAGTCTGTGCTTGATGTAAACATACATGCTATCAGTAAGAATTATTTTTATATATGAAAAGATAAACAAATCTCTCAGTTTATATATACTAGGAAAATATTTGTTTGCTGAGTACATGCTGAGCATCTTTCCTGCCTTTTCTCAGAATAGGCCCTTGTTTCTCTGTGGTTAGCCAAACCGGATACATGTTTCATGTAGTTTAAGGATTACTTAATTCCTCTATCGTTTGTACTTTTCATTTATGCTGCTGGCATATCACGCCAATGTCTGAATGCGCATTACTAATACAGTGGCTTTCATTTTGATTTTGCCAGTTTCAGCTGAATCATATGTGCAGCAGTGGGTTGTTACTAAGCCTGCAGTGTTAGGTCATGTAGAAGAAAAACTTCTTTCTTCTATTCTTGCTAGTGAAGAGTATACTGCTGAAAATAGTGCCAAAGTAGAGACAGAAATGCAGTAGAGTCTGGTCACTACCCCCAGATTCTGTCTTTTCAGCCTAGCACCAGGTGTTGGAACTGAGCTGACTGACAGGAACTGCACAACTTTGCCAACAAGTTAGTATCTCCAAAGGTAAATGACAAGGAAAGATCCACACAGCTGAGGGTGGCAGAAAACAACAAATGGTTGAAGTTATTTTTTGTTTACCCGGACCATTTCCATGACACAGTTTATGAATTGACACCAAAACAAATTGTGTATAAGTACTATTGCAGTAGTTATAGATTGCTGTGCAAGGAACGGACAAACAGGCTAGGATAATAACAGGCTGATGGATAACCTCTTAAAACAGCTTCATTGTCAGAAATAAAAAAGTACCTGGAACCAAACCCTTTGTCTTACTCTTCCTCAGCTCCCTTGCCCTCAAGTCCCCCACCCCCAAAGAACTAAATTCTGTATATGTCAGGACTTTGACACCGAAAAATATTTATGACACAGCTGTTTAAGTACCACTCTTGTATATGTGCTGTATACACATTGAGTCTACTTTGCTATCTCTGTTCATGTTCCAGTTTTTCTTACCCAGCAGATTCATAGTCCCCAGCTTAGACACCTGAGGAGCCACTTCAGCCATGCACACAAATTGAATGTGAGATTCATTTAGGAATGAGAACAAAGGCTCATCCATTGATAGAAAACCCACAGGGCTTCCATTTATTCAGCTCTTAACTTTCTTGTTTGCCAGGTAAGGAATGAGCTAAGAGGCAGACACAGTAGAAAATATTTACTCAGAGCAACTGGAATTAGATTAGCTATCGGGAAACACTGAACTGGGCCAACAGCAGAAAGTGCTATGGGAACATAAGTACATTGACAGGGGCATTTAGGAAAAGTAAGAAAGGACTCTTAAAAGGCTGACAAACTGATTAGATGAGCAGGAAGGACTGTTACAGGCATTCAGAGTGAATTGTTCTCCTAAGTGGGTTTGACAGTAGCCACATCTTTGTACCCCACTATTTGGAGAGGTAGGTTACTGGAAAAGGCTGCCAGGTCCCCAGGGTGGATGTATTCTACCCATGAACTGGCTTTATACATCTCATTATTAAGGTCTTTCTAAGCAACGTTTTTCCATAAAGGGACTCACCACATAACCTTTTGGCAAGTTCTCCCTTGAGTGTCATGCCTGAGATCATATCCTGTGCCCAACCCTCTGAATTCAGGCAGTTTCAGAATGAGTCTGAGCCTTCACAGGCAGTCACCAGCCCTTGTCCTCCAGAAACCTGAGGAAGGTTCTGGGGACGTGCCGCTTATCCACCTCCCTGGTTATCAAGTTGCTCAAGGGCACAGTGTTTCAGAGGAGGACTATACGTGGACTAGCATTCCTTGGACACTAGGGAACAAGAAGAGAATATTAATATCAGGAAACCCAATACTGATTTGCAGATCATCAGCTGCCATGTACCTATGCATGAACTCACATGATGGCATTTGTGATGCTAATTCTGAAAGTTACAGATACCTGACCTAATTTCCTAAGGCTAGTCTTCATTACCACTGTCTGACTAAATCACTGGAGAATGCTGTAACCTTCAGGAAAGATAAACCTCAGGAATGGGAAAGGGGATGGGAAAGGGAATGGAAAAGGGAGAGCTTTCTGCAGTGAAATGTGAAAGGGATGATTAAGAGTTCTTCTCCACTTAGAGGGCAAGATACAGCTGAGACTAGTCCTAATCAGTCTAAGGAAATAAGTCCAGGAACACACTGCACAGGAGACATTGTGGTTTGAGTAGGAGGAGCAGCCTCTGTGTGATGGCTGCCTGCTGTACAAGGAGGTGATGAGAACAACTTTTCAAGGAAGAGGGAGAATGATTTTTCAGATGAATAAAAGACTAAAAGACTGGTAAGTATGTTTAGAAATGACACACTGACTTATGAAAATGAATATTTAAATGACATGAAGATTAAGATGTAATAAGAATATTAAGGTTGCCCTAAAACTGCCTTAGAGGAAGCTCTCATAGGCAGACTAGATTGTTAATACTTGCTGCTTTTGCTACCTTCAGCACAGACCAATTTACTTGGAAACTAACACCTGTCCCACCATGTTTTATGTTAGCAGAACTCAAACCGCAAAGTTAATGTACTTTATGACTGGAATCAAAGCTGTCATGGTATCAGCATTGCTGTAGCCATAATGATGCATGGATAAGTGAGAGACCAAGCTAATAGGGAAAGACACGTAGTTTCCTTGGATAGCTGAGAAAAACAGACAAGCTTTACAGCTCACATGCCTTTCCCAGTCAGCAGTTCGATAGTCAAGCTGGGTGAGGGTGGCTTAAGCATTCAGTTCATATCAATGCCTGAAATTGTTAAGCAGAACTCGAGAGCCTGGTTGCTTGCAGCGCTGTCTCCCTCCACCTGCTGTTTGCTCTGTCTCCTGCAATGACAAGATAAGCCACCACTGAAGAGTATATGCACATGAGCAGGGGGCAAATGTGGCAGCCAGTGCTTGTCTTTCAGTGCAGAACACATTCAAATCCATGAAAGAAGATCATTATAGAAGATGTTGGTATTTATTTTATGGTATTACTAGTACAGCAGCTGCTAGATGGTATGTGAAATCATTTGAAATGTTCTCAATGAAATTTGCTATTTGTTCTAGGCAGTGATTGCTTGAATAAACCTTGTAAAAAGTTGGGGTATGCAGTACGATCCAGGAAAAATGCTTGTTTAATCAAAAATGCTAATAGTTTGAATAGAGCT